TATAGAATGCCAATCCATGAAGTTAACCACTATCTCCTCCCGAATAACATTCCACCACACCTCCAACCTCAAGCCAATCCACCTGAGCACCAACCCGAGCAACAACCTGACCAACCCGAGAATCAAGGACATGAAAATGTCCAACATGATATTCCCGACCATCCTCAAAACCCGCCACCACAAGACTTTTTCCAACAACTATTGGCGGGTCAACAATCCCTCCTAATCGGTTTTCAAAACATGGGCCTCAAATACACAAAAATGGGAGGGCAATTTGCCCAACTTCAAGAAGAAATAGGCCACCACCGGGAAGAACAAACGGAAAGGGACCGCAAATTTGAGGAATTTAGGGAGGAGCAAAGGGCGGGTTTCCAACAGTTGGAGGAGCAAAGATTGGACGATATACAACGGTATGAAGAAGACCACCGGAGGATGTATGGGCCGACATATTCCTACATGTCCCACCTTGCCGGTTTGGCATCTATGGCTTCACCACCGCCACCACCTTCTTGGTAGAACCCCTCTCATTGGGGTGATTTTGGCGGTTCTAGTTCCGGCAGTGGAGGGTATGATGGTGGGGACACTATTATGGGAGACGGAGCCGGTAATGATGGACAAGGAGGCGGCTTTCAAGGAGTCTTTTATGGCGGCGAAGGCGGACACTAGGGATAGTGCCTTGGTCCAAGTGTGGAGGAGGAAGACTCATTATTATCTTTTGGTATGTTTAAATTCCTTTGTTTTTAACTTGTACTAAGCATTATTTTCTTGTACTAGTTATGCACACAAAAAACAAAAAAGAAAAAGAAAAAGAAAAATAATAATAAATAAAAGAAATGAAATTCTAGTTAGGTTGAAAACCCAAAAACAAATATGGGCAATCTAAGCAAGAAGGGCTTAAAAAAATGATGAGTGAGTGGTAAGGAAAGAAAAAGAAAAGAGATTCTAGGATGAAAACCTGAAAATGCTCCTAGCCAAAATGAGAGATATGAGAGAAATATGTGTTTTTGCAGGACATCATCTCTTGGAGAAGAAAAAAAGAAGAAAGAGAAGAAGAAGAAGCGAGAGAAGAAGAAACAAAGAGCATAGAGGACAACCAAATCCAAGAAAATGTTGTTTTATGAACTCATTTACAACCTTGGTGGTCTTGTGTTCTTTCTTACTATTCTTGAAACTTATGATCTTTGGTTGAACATTGTACAAACATTTGGTTTTACTCGAGGTCGAGTAAAGAAACTAAGTGTGGGGGAGTTGACATTCATGTAATTTCCATGTTTATGTTTGTATTTTTAATTAGTTTTGATTGATTGTTGCTTTGGAAATGACACACTTTTGGTGTAATAGTTTAGTTTGTAAAATAATTGCAATTTGTTTAGATTAGGTTTATTCTGAGCTCAAACAGGTCCAAGATCACTCTAGGGACCATTGGTGAACATCAAAAGTTGAAGGAAGGTGCAAAATCTCAAGACAAAAATGAAGATTCTGAATTTTTGTGTTGTACCCGGTCGGGTATGACCTATACCCAGTCGGGTACCTTGCTGAAAAATCAAATCGGATCAAATCCGGGAACAAGACATCATGCGGGAAGATTTTTAACCACGTTCGGGTGTCATACCCGATCGGGTGACCGACAGACCCGGTCGGATATGCCCCAGTTTTCTGGCTTCCAGGAAACTCTCTAAGTACCCGATCGAGTGCCCTTAAAGCCCGATCGGGTACACAACCCTGCAGCTCCCTAAAGCCTATAAATACACCCCATTTCCTTCCCATAAAATTCACCAATTCACATATACTTCTAAGCTCAGTTTAGACAAGTTATTTCTTTATATTTTCTTCATGTTTAGTCTCCAAATGAGGAGTTAAACCCTTTCATCTTGGTTTTGCTACTTTGAAGCTTAATGAATTGTAAGTTGTGAGTTATTTTCTTTAATCTTCTTCCTTGAATATTAATTAATTCATATTCATATTTCATATTAATATTTTGAGCATCACTTAAAGGATCAACTAGTTTTGTTTCATATATTAGTTATTACTAGAATCGATCGACGAATACGCTTGTTAATCGTTCGGTCGTTTCACGGTAGTAAACTTGGGTTATTAATGCATGCGTCTCATGGTTAATAAACCAAGGGGAATTAATTATATTGATTAAACCAGTAAACCGCTTGTGTTGAGGTTATCAATCTCAATCGTTTTCATCTTGATTTTATTTCTACTATCATGTTAATATATGGTGCATGTTCTATATTAACTCGGTAGTAAGTTTTATTAATGAACGGGTCTCGTTATTAATAACTACCCTCGATGAATTGGATATACTCCTCGATTGAGTATTCGAGAGGAAGATATTTAAAGATATAACCGGGATTGACGAACATTTCATTAAGTGGATAAATGCAAAACCAAGTCTTCATCTCTATTAATTAACCACATAAGTCGTTCATCTTAGTGTTAATTAAATTAAATCAAATCAAACTAAAATCCCCCCTTTGTTACTAGTTACATAGAAGAAAAGTATTCATTTTCATGTGGATACCAACCTTACTTCAATATACTACGTATATTTGTTGTACTGATTATTATTTTGAGTGCACACCACAACAAAGTGCACGTCATCAGTTGCCTCTTTTTTTCTACCTTCTAGGATTCTGGTTTTGGTCCAATGTCTTCTTTGGCCGAGAGTTATGTCCCCTTCAAATGAAAGTGAGATTTTTTCTTCTCCTAGCAATGTCTAGATGATGTGTGGTCCTCGTCGGTGTAACCGACTGATTGGTGAAATTCCACTGTTCATGGTTAGCCAGACCGGGTTCAACCTGGTTCTTTTGAAGTTTCAATTACTCGCCCTCCTCGTGAACTACCGCCTCACTTTGAGAGAAAGATAGTGTTCAACAGGATTTCCTTTTCAGTGGCAAGTCAAACCAATGGTTCCACCAATTTCTACTCGGTTGAGTTTCTTTGTTGGTTAAATCAATTCTTCCTTTTCGATGGCTGGTGAAAGCGTATCTTTTATTTGTAATTGTTTATTTTTTCTTTGGAGTAGCAAGAAGAGCAGCAAGACTGTTATTAGACTAAACAATATTATTGCGAGATTAACGATCTGGAAAGATTCATGAGATCCTTTCTGATATATCTGTCATCTCATTGTAGTAGACTATTGAATCACTTGTTTCTTTGCTATCTTTGAATAAATAAATTAGTTATTTGATTTTTCAAAAAAAAAGTCAAACGGTCGCATGAGGAATGTTTTTGTCTTGCATACTTTCTTTTTATTGTTGATCAAACCTAGACTTCTATACAAACCCGATTTGAATTGAACAATTTAAGAAGTATGAAGAAAGTTTCAGGTTTTTATTTAATTTGAGGAGGCTACAAGTTGTTGATGATGAGTTATTTTGAGAGTTGACGATGTTGAATTATTCTTTACCAGAAGAAACAAAACTCGTGAACGATGTTGTGGATTATTTGAAAAAGACGGATCATTGTTTTCCCAATGAATACATAGCATATAAAATCTTGTTGACGATATTAAAGCCTTTTAAAATTAAAGCTTATAAAGACATTTTTGCAATCAACCATGTCACTAGAACGATTGAATGGATTAGCTATGTTATCAATTGAGAAGAAGTTTATTGAACATCTAGATATGCCAACTGAATGTACTTAATTTGTTATTGGAATACTTTGGTATTATACTCTTAATGGAATTTTTAAATTTAATTAGTCATTTTAGTGATGTTTAATCTTCAACTTCAAACAAAATTGTAGTACAAAAAATTACCATGGATAGGATCTTTTATGATGTTCGACTAAGACTCAAGTTTTGATAGGATCGACATTGGTTGTCACATGCTGAAACCTATAAAATAAATAGGAAAAAAGGTCACATACGTTCTTCTACTATTTCCAATCCGTCACTTAAGCCTCTGTACTAAAAAAAGTACCATATAAGTATGCATTTTTAAAATACAATCAACCAAGCTCTTTGACCTCATATAGCAGGTAATTTTTTAAAAGTAAATTATGAATATGGATAAATCTTACAAAAATTCATATAAATTTAAATAAATAATCTAATAATAATATAAAAATGAGCATAAATGTACAAATAGATAAATTGTAAAAACATAAAAGTAAAAAAAATAAAAAAAAATCATAAAACTGAAAAAATAAAGTGAAAATAAAAATAAAATATAAATAAATTAAAAAAAAATTGATGTAGAATATAAAATATGTTTAAAATTTAAAAAATATTGACGTAGATATTATGAAAATTTTCATAATTTTTGTGCACATTTCTTCAAATTTTAACCATTTTTAGAGTTTTAAGTATTAAAAACTTGCCCCTTTCAAAAAAAGTATTAAAAAGTTGCTATTACAGGTCGAAAAGTGATTAAATTGTCGAATTGATCCATTTAATAAAGTAGATTTACTTACATGATACTCCCTCCGTCTCGCTATGATTGTCCCATTTTACCATTTCGGTCCGTCCTACTAAGATTGTCTCATACCTTATTTGGTAAAGTTCGCGAGGGTTCTAAATCATTGCTAATTTATTCTTACTTTATCAATTCAATATCAATCACATAAACCTACTTTTATTAATAACCGTGACATCTTCTCTTGTCCCAAACTTAGGGGGACAGAGGTAGTACATTTTTAGTGCAAGGGCTTAAACGACAATTAGAAATAGTAGAAAACTTATTTGACCCCTTCTCAAAATATATAAGCAAAGTTGTTTTCAAAATCAGTTATGTGATGTGTGTTTGTCAGCTTTTCTTTATAATCACTTTTTTTCAACAAGAAATAATTAAAAGAAATTATTCTCGTGATTTCTAATTTTGAATCAATGGAGTTAGCTTAAAGAAGGATGGGTCCTTTATTGCCCTTTTTCCCATTTGACTGAATTCAGTAATTCACCTTGTTTGGTAAGCCTGCCACTGACAACTTAGGTGGCCAATCCAATCATATAACTGATTGGGATTCACTTTTCTTTTTTAAATGAGGCATTCACCTACGTCCCAACCAATGTCACATTATCAAACTGATCGAAAATCATTCAAAGACAAGAGAGGACATTGGTGCCTATGGCTCAGCAGGTAAACTCTGTTTTCTTGCCTTGGCTTAGCTTATGGGTTGTTAAAGATGAATTTTACCATTTCTTGTTTGAATGGTTTTTGAAAGAGATGATTGGGATGCAATGCAGGGAGAAGGGTGGCCATTGGGACTGCGGCCCTTGAGTTTAAGGGTAGTGAGGAACAGAGATCATTACTTGGAGGCATCAACATCATCTTTCAACACCACTTTACTTGGTGATTCGCCTGCTGCTTCCTCCTCAGTTTCCTCGGCCTTTGACACAGAGGTATTACCATTCCTTGTTAATGCTATAAGTTACAATATCACTAGATTGTTGCTCCAGCCTACAACATTTATAGATTGTTGCTATAAGTGTTTATTGTTCAATGTGCCCATTCAATGTGTACGGCTTACCCCGATTCCCATTTTTTTGAGTCGTGGATGGGCCAAAATGTAGTAGGTGTAGAAGCTTTAACTCTTTAAGATGCCCCCTAACATATAAATGTATAGATGAAACTTCATGTCAGGCCAGCCTGACGGGCTGCCCCGTCCGGCCGAGCCCGTTTGGGCACCTTCTCGATCAGGGACGGATCCAGGATTTTGGGTCAAGGGGGCGAAATTTTTCGTTAGTGTAGGGGGTGAAAATTTTTTTCGTTAGTGTAGTGGGACGAAATTTTTTCCCCTAGTGTAGCGGGGCAAAATTTTTCACTACTGTAGGATTATGCGGCTATTTTTATTAAAAAAATGACATTAATACATATATATCCCCCAATGACATATAAATCTATTACATTCTAAATTTAGACAATGACAAAGACATCAACCAATACATTTTTAATAACTTCTATATTGTTTAATCTTATGAATCGGTTATTGAATTGTAATTTTTGTCCATCAAGAAGGGTGTTCGTGAGTCATGACTCATGAGAAGTTTTCTTAATATTACAATAGTAGTATGTATGAGATTATTATTTTTAGAATAATATGCACCACATACACACACTATATGGTGCATATTATATTTTAATATTTGTATTAATGCTCTAATAATTTAAATTTTATTATCTATGCAATAAATTATTTTTAGAAAGCAAGAAGTAAATGAATTATGTAATTTAATGTCAATAAATATTTATATTTTGGATTCATTTCACGTGATCTAAAAACTATGTAATTAGTGTGTCTGGTATTTAATATTGTTTGATATATATTTTACAAAATTGAGTACTTGTTATCTAATAAAGACAATTACACATTACAAAACTAGGAATTCTTATATAATAAGTATCCTAAATCTTAAATAACGAGTTATGTAAATTATATTAGACGTTCTTTCTTTTAAATATCCAATTAAGTATTACATTATGTAAGACTATATATTAATTTTGAAAATTAAAAGCTAAGGGGGGCGAATCTAATTAAATTATGAAAGTTTTATGAAAATATTATATATATGGTAGAAATTTTTCAAAGTCCAAGGGGGGCGGTCGCCCCCCCCGCGCCCCCCCCTAGATCCATCCCTGTTCTCGATGGAATTTTTTGATGAAATTTTTTGAGCATGTTCCTCATCAAGTCTAGTTTGTCCATACCAAATTTCAGCTCAAAATTCGATCGGGAAGGTCGTCAAATGAGTTTTTCAAGTTAACTCGTCAAATCCTCAGAAGTGACCTTTGTTCTAAATTTCTAGTAGAGTCATGCAACAAGCATTATTAGTTTGTTCTAAACAGAGAATATCACGGACCTAGAAAGTGATTAAAAATATAATCCTCCCTACGTATTTAAAAGTTCCCTACACTTTCCTTTTTGGAATGTATTTAAAAGTTTGTTACACTTTCCCTTTTTGATAAGTTTTTTCCTTTAAAAATACTCAATTACCCTCACACTTTCTACTTTTTATCTTCTATTTCCTACTTTTTCACATTCTCTCCTACTTTTTCTACATTATTCATTACCCCTACTATTTTCTCCTAAAACATTGTGCCAAAAACTATTGTAGAGAACATATAAATACAGAGAGAGTAATAGGGATGAAAACAAAAAATATGAGGATCATATCTCAAACAAAAATGTAACAAGAAAATGTCTATTTCACTTACTTTTATTGTCATAATTTATGTGCAATTTGTGAATTTTATGGTTGATGGATGATAAAGTCAAATCTTTCTAGCTAATGATGTCAAAATTTACAATTAAAATTAAAAGGTTTATTTAATCGCAAAAAGACCACAATTTAATACTCCCTCTGTCCCGAAAAAGATGTTTCACTTTTTCTTTTCACGGTGTCCCAAAATGAAGTTCCACATTTCATGTCTTTCTATATTTGGAAAATTTTTATTATTCATTACTCATTACCCTCACATCACTTCATTGAATTGATATGTATTACCCACATTTCACTATTCATTACCCTGTTTATTATACCTATTTGGTTACTATACCTTTTATTTATCCAAGGGCATTTTTGACAAATCAACTTTATTTCGTATTCTACCTAAAAATCCATGAAGCCAAACCTGGAACTTGTTTTCGGGACGGAGGGAGTATGATACCATTTTGAATCAAAATAAGATAATAATAACAAACAATATTGAGTGATAAAAGTATAAATCAAATGATTTCCGAATGGGGAAGTACGTATCTTTTTAAGCGTGAACCTTGACATTATAATTTAGTCAACCAACAAAAATTATGTCTTATCCATCCCTTAAAACCCTGTCAAACTTTATTTAAACTTTTATTTTTGATGGTAAACTTTATTTAAACTTTAACTAATGATATATTTGTATACAAACGTAATATAATATGAAAATATATGTTCATTTCTTAAAAATACTCATGTAAAAGTATGAAATTATAACATTCACACCAAATATTAAATCAAAATAACAAACCAAAGATTACCGTCATTAACCAAAAAAATCAAATGTGTCAAGGTTTTAAGGAATAGAGAGAGTGTTATTTATGATGGGCCAAATAGATCGAGTTAATTACTTTTATTTGGAGGTGCTTCAAGTTTTGACATTATTTCTGGTGAATTATTCGTGAAAATTGTAAATTTCAAAAGAATATAATATCCTTAATGTGCAGTGGACGAATTGAACTTTAATAGTTACTGGACATGATCTATAGGCAAGTAAGACTATGAGTCTTATAACTGATTAGAGTAAAATGTTACAAACTAAATCAGTAAATCTCCTGTCTTAAATTATTTGGTCACAATGAGGTATTAACTTAAGAGTATAGATTATGTAATTTTCAAGTTTTTTTATAAAATTGAAATTTTATTAGATCTCTACGATGCAATAATATTTTTGTGTTCAGATCATAATGTTCTAGCATTTGAGGAGGGTGTGATCAGTTAGGTTTTACTTGATCAACCCAACATTATATTATCACAAATAACCGGATCAAAATGTAGTCAACAGGATCGTCATTCTTCCTAGACAGGAGCACAACACTTGGAACCCTAATTGGGATCACAAGAATTATGAACCTCTCAAGAAGATCAACAAGAGAAACTGTCATAGAAACAGTGGACAAGAAGCACAACTGGAGTAGGTGTTTCTCAATGTGCCCTACAAAGAGTACTGATGCAGCTGACATGACTTCCATAAGAAGCCACAAGGCCGGCGCACCTCTTGGCCATTTTCTTGCTGTGGAAAGAAGTGATGCTAATAGAAATGATAGAATTATCCATCACAACCCTATGGTATATGGCCCTGATGAATATGATGTAGGGCAGAAGGATATTGAGCCGAATTCGCTTTTCTCCGATGGTCACATTGCTCCTCCTCAGGTGAGCAAAAGGACTATGGAGAGTGAAAATGAGCATAGCGTTCCACTTGTATTGTTTCCATGCATTTGTGGTTAGACATTGTACAATCTCATAAAGTTTACTAGCTACTCCCTCTGTCCCACAAATTTTGCGAGATTTCCTTATGTCACCATCCCAAAAATGTTTTCAATTCTATTTAGAGTAAGATATATTCCGTGTGTGATTAAAGTGATTTGTCTCTCCTTAATTGAAAAAGCAAAAAGGATTGCATAAAGTGATGGATAAATTGTCTCCAATTATTGTGAGACAATTCTATTTATTGATCAAAAAAATTGATCAATTAATAAATTGAAAAAGCAAAAAGGATTGCATATGAGATTACTGCTTGGGTGGCTGGATTTTAGGGAGCGCATTTCGTTTGGGATTGGGAAAGTCAAAAGAAGGGTGGGCTAATGAGGCAAGCATGTGGCTATTGCCGTGTTGGGCTCTCATTGCACTATGAACTATGAAGTACTCCATATTAATTAACTTTGGGCCTTCAATTTTATCAGTCTTGTGCGGTCGGGCTGCCTGTGCTGGCTTTGGGCCGGGTATGCTCATTATGGGTTTATTGCTCCATGGCAAATGTCATCACGAAAATTGTTAGTTTAAAGTTTAAACAATAGAACTAAAACAACATCATATTCTTCAAATAATATACTCTCTATGTTCTATAAAATTTGCCCAAGCAACTTTGACTTGCACGTGGAATAATAAAACAAAAACTGTGTGATTGATATGTGTGAAAAGCAACGGAGAACATAATTGGGGGACGGAGGGAGTAATTAAATTCAGATGGTCTGTAATTGAACTTAGCAAATTACCAAATTCAGTTATTAAACTAGGTTACTATGCTGTTAATTTAATAATTCAATATAACAAATAAATGAAGCATCAAGCATATGTTGTTAAGGAATACTTTTATTTCAACTATTTTTTTCCCCATAAACTAGTATCGTACCCGTGCGATGCACGTGACAAAAAAAATCTTCATTTTTATTTATGGTGTAATATACTTCGTATATTGGAAGAGTGTAAGACACATTTATTTTAAGAACATTGAAATACTTGTATGATACTGCATATATATTGATACTCCACATTTATTATAATAACATTGAATATATATTTTAGTATAATGAAAGGAAATATTTTTAAGCCTTTATAGTTTATATTAAGTGCATACATAAAGCAAAAACATGTACTACATACATTAGCGCAAACTCCACATTTTAGAAAAACTTCCAGCTATATAAAATACGTACTACATATATTAGAGCAAACTCCACATTTTAGAAAAACTTCCATCCATATAAAATACTCCCTCCGTCCCTAAATGTTGTTCCAATTGCGGATTACGAAGGTTGACCGACGATAAAGTTAAATGACCCGTGTGAAAACTCAGATTTTTTTAGTAAATAAAATTTACATATTCAGAAACTACATTAAACCTGCTACAAGCCTGCAAAAAATAATTCAACTTTTATAAAATTTTAATATAAAAAGTAAGAGTTTAAGAGTGGTTTAAGTTGAGCCTCGATAAGCGAAATGAAACTTCTTTTAGGGACAGAGGGAATACATATATGCATTTAATATCAAGGAAGTACAAACAAAAAGTTGGTACACATTTTAATAAAATTTTATAATAAAAAGCTATTACTGAACTTCACAAAGTGAGCGAGGTTATTATTTTATATGCGTATATGAACGTTTTTTTTTAACATCATAACGGTGAACTTTTTTAAAAAAAATTGAACTTAAAAATGTAAAACACAGTAAATTCATTATTTTATTTCAAAAAAAAAAATTAAATTAATTATTTTTGATTGTTAAAGGCAAAGGGCAAATGCTACTATACTCATGCACATGAAGTTTATGAATTACCGAAATGAAATTCCTACTTAATATTTTTACAGCCCACATTAAGTAGAAAATACTACTTGCGATCGAGTAAGTAGAAAATAAGACTTGATCACACGGATTGTGTTGAGAAATCATTATATAGCACCAAACTTGCGATCGAGTAACTTAAATATGGGATAACAGGGTTTGTTTTACAAAACTCAAATTTAGTAAAATCATACTTCCTCCGTTCTTAAATAAATGCAACGGTCAACATTTCACACTTGCCGAGACACAACTTTGACCATTAATATAAATGATTTTGTATTAGTAAAAAAATTAAAAAATTAGATTATGAAAATTTACAATGAGACAAGTTTAACAATATTTTTTTCATAAAATAATATTATTACATTAATAAATAAAACGTAGTCAAAGTAGAACATGTGAATAGTGTAAAAGTCAAAGTGTTACATTTATTTAAGAACGGAGGTAGTATATTCGTATATAAGAATAGCTTAGTAACCCTTAGTGTTATAGATACGTACATCACACAAGTAGGGGAGATTTATCCGTGGAAAAGTTAGAGTATAGCAGACACAATTTATCATCCGTGGGAAAGGAAACCCCTACCTCGAGGTAATGGCCGCTGCTCCAACAGGCTCTTTTACAAAAGGTACATGAGCCGCCCAATCTCACAGGCGTTTTCCATGTCCTAAAACGTTAATTATGGTAACTTGAACAATACGTGTGATAGATGTAAAATACTCCCTCCGTCCCAAAATTATCTTCATAGTTACTATTCACATGGTCAACTCAAATTACTCTTAATCTTTTACTTTATATATCAAATTTTTATCAAACTTAAATTTTCTTGATCAGGCTTTGTAGCGGTTTTAATGTAGTTTCTGAATATGTAAATTTTATTTACTAAAAATAATCCGAGTGTGAACAGGGATCGAGTTGCTTTATCGTCAGTCAAGCATCGTAAACCGAACTATGAAGATAAATATGGGACGGAGTTAGTAATAATATAATCATTCTGCTATAATTAATTCCAAAAAACAGTGAATTGTACCTCATAATCATTCCAAAAGAGTTTGTAGAACAGTAGAAGTCTTGTTGTATGCCAGCAAAGCATAGGTCGAATAATGTTAAATGTCCCACACCGGAAAAGTTTGGATGAACGAAGTGCTATATTAACACATGGGCTACTCCTCCTAACAGGTTGACCTTTTAGGATGGAACCCCGTGTCTTAACATGGTATCAGAGAGCCAAATCGATCCATGGTGTGGGGCCCCTTATGAATCGTGATGACACGATTATAAAAAAAATGACAATTACGGCCGGATGAAAAAAAAACGGACCGATGAAAAAAATGAATGATGACACGATCCAGACGAAGTGCCTGGTCGTGAGGAGGGGTGTTAAATGTCCCACACCGGAAAAGTTTGGATGAACGAAGTGCTATATTAACACATGGGCTACTCCTCCTAACAGGTTGACCTTTTAGGATGGAACCCCGTGTCTTAACAAATAAGCCTCGTTCTTAAATTAGTACTATCGGGTGTTTGGATCTCATTCTTAAAACTGATTCTGCTCCTTCAAGGTGGAGAATAAAAAGTTGGGGTGTTTGGATGAAAGTGCAGAAGTAATTCTAGTGCTCTAATTTACTCATAGAATTAGTTTTTTAGAAGCTGGGAGTGACCAGGTTCTGAAAACTGATTCTGATTTTGCTTCTATTTTAAAAAGGAAGTAGAATCAGAATCAATTCCAAACACCCCTATGTCTCGAATGATGCTGAGCTCGAAGATTTCGTTAAAGAACATGTTCCTATTGTTGTGGAAACTCTGGAAACAAAACCTTTTTTGTTAGAACGTAACTCAATTTAATAAAATTTGTAGAAACAGAATTTGAATAGAAAATCACTTTCACAGTTATGACCGGACAATGGTGTTATTTATACAGTCTCAGAAAGTAGTACCGGGGACAGAGTCACACTTTCTATCTGTCAGATTGTGATTATAGTCCAATTTACATCCTCCCATCGTGTCGTCCGGTCGGTGTCGGGAGCTCTGACATGAGGTATGGGGTGTCATCCCTTTCAGAAAGCAGTTATCAAACATTGAGTGGGCTGGAAGGTGGAGACGTGATTTTCAGAACTGTCAAAGATAGGGGTGAGCATTCGGTCGGTCGGTCAAATAACCGGCCGATAACCGAATAACCGGCCAATGTTTTTTCCTCTCATAACCGACCGAAAACCGACCGACAACATTACAAAAACCGACCGAAAAATGTCATTCAGTTTCGGTCGGTAACCGAATAACCGAACATAACCGACCAGAACATATATTTTTCAAAATTATAAAAGTTGTAGATAGCACATTAATAAATAAAATAATAAATACCAAAATGGATTCAACATATTTAAATGTAAATAATTGTTCTTAGCACAATACGATTACAAAAACTAAAAAATCCCACGTTGAAACTACTTCATTGTTCGACAATTGTCTTTTTCAATATGAAAACAAAATAAAAAAGGATATGTTAGCAAATAAATAAGCTAATATCTTATTAATCTTTACACCCCAAATGAGCAAACCCATCTAAAAATTTCTGAATATTTTAAATCACACTAAAGAAAAAAATTAAAAATCAAAAGATCTGTCATGTTGAGTAAGATAATAATAAAGGATCTAGAAAATATTATAAGAAAAAAAGTGTGCAATTTCGCAACGATTAAATATGAATTTCGGTTGATTTTTCTCTACCAGGGTTGATTCCTCCAGAACTAATGAAGGTGTACGTGGAGGTTTGAAATTTTGAACAGGGTGTTCCATGAATTGATTATAAGAATACAAGTTAAAGAGATGTGGAAGTGGATAATTGAAGAACGGGCTCCATAGCATTCCACTAATGAGTTTTGTAGGTGGAGTTCAATGGGCGTGGACTGGACTTAATATTTCATTACTATGGAGTTCTTTTTTTAATCGTTATTATGGAGTATATTTACTTAAATATTTACAAAAAAATAAAAAAATCAAAAAGTTGGACGGTTATCGGTGACCGACCGATAACCGACAAATAAAACTGAATAAAAACCAAATAACCGAATAACCGATTATTTTTAATTTATGATAATCGAAAACCGACTGAAAACCGATTTTTTCGGTCGGTTTGGTCATCGGTTTTCGGTCACTAGGGATGAGCAAAACCCGATCCGACCCGAAAAACCCGATATTTCTTTCGGATATTATCCGAACCGAAGTGGATATCCGACCCGAAAAACCCGAAACCGAAAATCCGATTAGTATTGGGCCTAGACCGGGTGGCGGGTAGGGTTTGTGAAATCCCAACCCGACCCGCCCGAATATCCGAAATATATGTTT